AGAAGATTTCAAGGACAGCTTGAAAAGACATGGGAAAGTGGTGTAACAAAATATGAAGAACTAGAGTCAGAAAATGAGAGAGGAACTTGTTCAGCATTTCTCAAGCTCAAAGAACTAAAAAATTAATTTAAACCTCAAGTTGCAACATTGAAGGATGCTGTAGGCAAAATCTTGAGTGATCTAAGGAACATCAAAAGAAGATGGAGAAGCCAAAATGCTGCAAAATCTGCTGCCTCTTTGTCAAATTACCCAGAGGACCATAAGTACTACTTCACGCAGACAGTTTGAAAATAAAGTTCCAGAAAAACAAAAGCTATTTCAGGAGGATAATGGAATTCCAGTGCATCTAAAGGGTGGGGCAGCTGATGCCCGCCTGTATAGAGCCACCATGTTTCTTACAGTTGGTGGAACAGCATATGACATATATCAGCTGGCTGTGGCTTTGTTTCCCAAGAAGCAGGATTGACTTCAAGTTATCATTCCAGCTCTGGCTTCAATTTAATTGTGTGCCCTGTGGACTAGTAATATGATCAAAAGAGCTCTTCTTTGGGATCAGTATTTATTGACTTGCACTAACTGTCACCAATAAAGCAGTCTTTACCATGGGGGGGGGGAGAAGAAGATGGAGAAAATATCGTCACTGTACCCAAAAGAATTGGCTGACATGGAACCATTTCGGGAAGTAGCATGTGATAAAGAATGAATTGTTATAAAGGAAGAAGTTAAAGTTGCTCTGAAGGTATTGGCAAAAAATAAAGCCCCAGGAATCTATGTGATACCAATTGGCATATTCCAGCAATTACAAATAGATTGTTTTAACAAAGAGAAATTAATTTTCTTACTGATGAATAGGCTCTCTAATTTAAGGAAGGAGAGAGACTGTGCATCTTTTTTCTGGTGACAGGCAGTTTTCTGGGAAGTAAATTGCTAGGGCTTTTCTCCCAACATGCCTCTGAATGGACTTTAACTTTCTGCCTTTAGGATTGATTCTAGTTTTTGCATGCTCCAGGAGTCATTTATCAGCATCTCCATCTCCCTATGCTATTTGGGTTCTGAATCTCAGCATGTCTACATGCTTATAGCAGAAGGCAACACTATTGTAGCATAATACAACATTGATTACAGGATGGTTGCCTTATCTGCTCAGCTTATTCTTTAGACATAGAATTGCACCTTCTATTTGCTCACTTCATTCACCTTCTGCCCCGTTACTCTTAGGCTTCATTGGACTGTAGAGAAAATAATCTGGAGTCTCATACAAATGCAATTTGTCATTTTTGGGTAGCACCTAATTTCATTTCTCTGAAACATTTTGCACTAGTAGTTTTCCAATGCTTTCAGAAATTGTCATACTTTAAAGTTTGGTTAATTGTTCCTTTCTGGTTTATATATATTGACTTTTGAGCCTTGTCCTGGCTGTTGAAAGTTACTGTTGTACAAAGTTCTGATTCTGACAACTTTACTTTCTCATTTTAGGAGGAAAAACCTAAACAGAACAGAAAGGGGATGATGACAGGGATGGAACAGAGCTAAAGTCAGTTTATTTCTTATTAAAATCTTCAAACATATACAAACATAGAATCAATACAAGCAAACTGATCCTAAAATTCATGTGGAAACTGAAGAGATTCAGAATATCCTAAACAGTCCTTAAAATAAAATTTGAGGACTCATGCTTCAGATTTGAAAACTTAGTACTATATAACCATAATCAGACAATGTGATCCGGTCATAAGGCTTAATATATAGACCAAAGAAATACAATTGAGATTCTAGAAAAACAAAGTTCACATAGTTAAACTGGACTTTTTTTTTCAAGTGTCTCAAAACAATGAGGAAAGAATAGCTGTTTCAGCAAATAGAACTAGATAACTAGATGTCTACAAGCAAAAGAAATAATTTTAAATCCTGCCTCAGACCACATACAAAATTTTAACTGAAAATGTACCAAAGATTTAAGTTTAAGAGGTAAAATGAAATTTCTTCGAAGAAATCATCAGAGCAAATCTTCATGGTCATAAATTCAGCATTAATTCCTTAGATATTACATAAAAGCACAAGAAATCTAAAGGAAAAAATAGGGAAATTGAATGTTATCAAAATTAAAAATATCTAAGAGAGAGACTAGCCCTAGTTATGATTCAGTTAACTACAATCTAGACTCCCTCCTTAAAGCATTAAGGCATGAAAACCTGATTTGGGAATCTGATCTATTCCCATAAATACAAACTATCCTCCTTTCCTTGGCAATTAGCAGCTAGGACTTAGAAAGTACCTCATGCACATCATAACAACACATTTTACAGTTCTTTTTAATCTTCAAAATGTTTGTTACGTTCCATTGACTTAACTCTAACTCTTAGTGACCTTATTATAAACAACAGATTTGAACCTCCACCTACCCTGCATAATGCTCATGATCTCTGTTATGTTGGAGCCCATTGTAGTAGTCTGCACTCTGTCAAGCCATATTAGTATTTTCCTCCTTTTCACTGACCTTTTCCAACATATTGTATCCTTCCAAGGGCTGGTTCCTCCCAAAAATATGCCCAAAGTAAGTGAGACAAAGTTTCATCATCCTTGCCTCTAAAATACAGTCAAGTTACACTTTCTTTAAAACATATTTGTTTGTTCTTTTGACAGTCCATGGGACTTTCAATATTCTTCAACACCACAATTCAAAGGCATCAATTTTTCTTCAGTTTTTATAATCCATTTTCCAACCTTCAAATGCATGAATAGAAAACAAACTAAAAATATCATGGCTTGGGTCAGGCGCATATTAGTCTTTAAGCAGATCCTTGCTCTTTAGCACTTTGGAGAGGTGCTTGGCAGCAGAGTTTCCCAATGCAATACATTGTCTGATTTCTTGACTGCTATAAACCATGGGTGCTGATTGTGAATCCAAGTACAATAAAACAGATGGCAACTTTAATCATTTCTCTATCATGATATTGCCTATTGGTTCAACAGTAAGTATTTTTGTCTTGTTGATATTGAGAAGGCAGTTTGGTATCTCCTCAAAAAGCTGAACATAGAAATCATATATGACCCCAGCTTAGAATATACCCCAAGAAAATGAGAACTGAGACACAGAGACTTGTACACCAATGTTCATAGCAGCGTTATTCACTATAACAAGAACATGAAAAAAAAACCCAGATGTCCAACCACAAGAATGGATTGAGAAAGTATGGTACACACAGTGGAATGCTACGCATTATGCAGGAGCAATGCTTTTGTAAATTGCTACATAACTTGGGAGGGACCGGAGAACTAATTCAGTTGCATAAGGAGATGCAACTTACATCAAAGGTTGTAGGCTTTGATCTTATAGCTTCAAGTCTACTTTCTACAAGTAAAGTTGTATCATCTGCATAATATAAATTGTTGAACCAATCCTAATGCATCTATTTGAAGATCTTCTTTAGATCTTCACAGTAGTATGTATCTTTGAATCCATTTTTGCAGTTACTCAAGAAAACAAACAGATTCATTGTAGAGAGGATTAAACCAGGCTGCTCCTTGAAGGCAAGGATTCCGGGGGTTTCATCTGACATACTTTGGACATGTTGTAAGGAGAGACAGGTCTTTAGAGAGGGACATCATGCTGGGTAGAGTAGAGGGACAGCGCAGGAGGGGAAGACCCTCTATGAGGTGGATTGATTCAGTGACTGGGGCACTCGGGATGGGTGTGTCAGAGGCAATGAGATTGGCACAGGATAGAGCACAATTTAGGGCTGTTTTACATAGGGTCGCTATGAGTCGCAAACGACTCGACGGCACATAACAACAACAACAACATGTTAACGCATCCCTCTGAAAGTCCTCCCCTTTCTTATTAACCTTCTACTTTATCCAACATTAGAACTTTCCCGATGACATAACTAAAGAACCTCTCATTGCCCTCAAGTCAGAACCAAGCCATTGATGATTTCCTAGTGAGTTTTCAGAGGCTGTAAATCCTGCAAAAGCAGATTGCCTGGCTTTCTATCGAGAAGAAGCTGGTGAATTCTAACTCACATCTTTGTGTTAGAGCACAATCCCCTATCCACTAAGTCATCAAGAGCTCCCTAAAGCATTGGAGATGAAAGTTAGTCATCCTTGTTTCTAAGAAAGCTTTACTTTCTGGTTCAACTTGTCCCAACACAGATTTGATCATTCCTCTGGCATTCAATGGTATACTCAGTGTTCTCTGTGAGCACTACAATTCAAATGGATCAATTTTTCTTCCTATGCCTTATTCATGGTTTAATTTTTCATGCATGTGAAGGGATTGAAAATACCATCGCTTGAATCAGACATACCTAATCCTTACAATGACATCTTGGCTCTTTAACACCTTAACTATTTTGCAGCAGTTGTGTCCAATGTAACAGGTTTTTGGAGTTCTTGATTGCTGTTTCTATAGATGTTGTTTGTAGATGCTTATTTTTTATATTTTTGAAAGATCCAACTTCAAATATTTTCTCAAAAAACATTTACATGGATTCAATTTGTTGATCATATGATTTCATTAACTCTAATCAAAGACCAAATGAAGTTTTAACGCAAAAATAGATTGCTAAAAATAAAAACAGGAAAGGAATAACAAAAAATTGTAATTAAATTTCTAAGTCAGATAACACGTTTGGTAAATTTAAATGTATGGTTACTTAAATTATTTAATAGTGGAATCAGGAAATTGAGTATATTTTTCTAATCAGCAACAACCCCTAGGGATTTAAAACCTGAGCCTTCTGAGTCAATTACAAGTAGGTATCTCTAAGAGCAAGAAAAACAAGCATTCAAGTACAGAAGACCCCATTCCCTTTAACCAGTGGAACCCGGAAAGGAATCCCATTGGCCAGGAAGTTTCATGGAGGATCTCTGAGCTTTGGCACTGGCTGCGCGGTGACTTCTCTAGCAATTGCATTTCTCTGCCCAGAACGAATTGGGCGCTAAGAGGGAACTAAGTTGTGACTTCGAGACGCACTGGGACTCGCGGTTCCAGCCGGGAGATGGGCCCACGAGCCCGGCCCGCGCTGCTTCTGCTGATGCTCTTGAGGACGGTGGCCCCCCACAAAAGGCAGCCACGTGAGTTCCCAGGCCAGTGGGAGGGCTGGGGGCGCAGCAGGGGAGAAACAAATCCAATTCTGCTTTCCTTAGCCACCTGCTGTTTACAAAGGAGCTATTCGGCTTCACCTGCAATTCCTCCTTACACTCTGGACATGAATACCCACAGGGGACTCTAATGTTGAGCTCGAGTAAGGATCTCCTTCCCCCAACACATGCTTGTCCTTGCTCTTTGGAGTGGTGATTACACTCTTTTTTCCACTAGCGTGCACCATTACACGTTTAAATAAATCTCGTAGTTTGGCACTTAGGCCGAGGTGGACCTAGGATTCCTTGAACTGGCATCTTGGTTTTTGTTACTGGTGTTGTCAGTTTCCTTTTTAATCCCCTCGATCCAAACAGGAAGTTCTCACTAAATGCGACATTGGCCGGGGCGCCCCTTTGCTGTTCACGCAAAGGCTGTGAGACTGTGTTGAGGGAACCCAAGGACAAACCAGTCCACTTGAGAATCACTTGTGCTTGGACGTGAAAGTGTGGAGGGTGAGACTGGGGCGGGGTGGGGTGGGGGGAGCAGAGTTCTACCCACCCCCACTCATGTGCAGTGTTCCTGGGCGTGGGTGGAGACATAATGGAGACTATTCTTAGTCTTTGTTGACTGAATGATTGGGATCTTGCTGGGGAGGCGGGGGGGAGGAAGTAAAAGTGGTAGCTATCGGCGTAAATTTGCTTTCTTAGCTGATCTTTGTTGATTTGCAATGTTAATGTGCTGTATAACTGAAGGTCTTTACTATGTTCAAAATTATTGTACATAAGCTTTCAATGAGTCCCAGGGGACTTGATGGCACATAACAATGATAGAATTTCTGGAGCAACTGTAACCGTCGGCTTTCATAAAGATTTGTTGATGTTGTTATGTGCCTTGGAGTGTGTTTTGACCCCATGTACAACAAACAGACCATCTGCTTGAGGGTTGTGTTTTTGTCTTCTCACCCTCCATTTTATCAAGCATGAAATCTTTCTCCAGGAACTTGTCCCTCCTGGTACCCAAAATTTGTGAGACAAAAATCTCACCACCCTTGCTTCTGTAGAGCATTCTGGCTGCACAGTTTCCCAAAATAGCTTTGTTTGTTCCTTTGGTGGTCCATGGTATGCCTTAGGGGTCCATATGATCTTCTGGTGAAATAGTCTGATTCCAGATCAGGAGGCTGTGAGTTCAAATCACATTAACATCAAAGGTGGTTGGTTAACCTTTTTAATTAATTAATTAGTCAGTTAGTTAGTTAGTTAATTAATTGATTTTTAATTTATTAACAGCAAAGTTTGCCTTAGGACAGTTAGAAGTCAGCATCTCCTTAATTATCTGTTAAGTACAGTAAATCCTTTATCTGAGGGCTCTTCTGGTTATGCCTTGCCACATTTTCTCCACAGCAATGCCACAGTCTCTCCACCACCATCACTAGGGTTTCACTGTCACCAGAGTCTTGCTCCAATCTTTCTCAAGTCTTGCTGGTTAACCATTTTGTTGTTAGGTGTCATCAGTTAGGAGCATGGAGACCTTATGCACAAGTAAAGAAAACACTGCCACACCTGGCTCAAGCCAGATGTCAATCTATCCCATTGAAGATTTTCCTTTTTTTTTCCTGTTTACCTTCCATTAATGCTATGGGTCAGTTTTGCTCTGTCTTATAGGGTCACAATTATGTGCTGTGCGTCTGAGAGCTGGTCAATGAATAAGAGTTGAGCTGGTAACAACATTTGAGTTGTGGTGTTGGAAAAGAGTGTTGAATATCCTATAGACTGACAAAAGAACAAACAGTTGTTGGATCAAGTGCAAACAGAATGTTCCTTGGAAACACAGATAGACATTCTTCTGGTACTCTTTGCTTTCTGCCAAGATCCTTCTGATATTGGCGATAATGTCCCTAATGCTATGTCATGCTTGGGAGGGTGGAGGAACAGCACAGGAGAGGAAGACCCTTGATGAGATGGATTGATTCAGTAACTGGGGTAATGGGGATAGGTGTGTCAGAGACAATAAGATTGGCAAGGGGTTGAGCAGGGTTTAGGGCTCTAAACACAGGCGACTTGACAGCACATAACAACAACAATAATAATGCCTTTGTGTTGTCATGTTGGAGAAGAGTACTGAATATCTCATGGACTGCCAATAGAAAGTGCAGATGTGTCTTGGGAAAAGTGCAGTCAGAGTGCTTCTTGGAGGCAAGGATGATGAAGCTTTGTCTCTCTTGGGTCATATTACTAGAAGAGATTATTTCTTGAAAAGGGATCTCATGCTTGGAAGAGTGAAAGAGAGGAAGACCCACAATGAGATGGATTGAAACAGTGACTGCAACAGTGGGCTCAGGTGTATCAGAGATTATAAGGATGTCACAGAATAGGACAGGATTCAGGTCTGTTGTTCATAGGGTTGATAGTAGTCATGCTCAACTTGATGACATCTAACTACAACATTTGTATTGGCCTATGCTTATTTAAGCCACAACAATAAGTCATTGATATTATGTAGATCATTATCTCAGTCTTTAGAATCTCATTATATTCTTATAATGGTGAAGCTCTGTCTCACATTATTTTGGAAATCTTGTTAGGATAGGCTATTCCTTGGAAAGGAGCATCATCTTTGGGAAGGTGGAGGGTCAGTGAAGGAGAAGAAGACCCTTAAGGAGATAGATTGATGCAGTAACTGAGAAAATGGACTCAAATACATCGAGGATGAAATGGTACAAGATAGGACCTATTCTTCATATGGTCACTACTAGTCATACTCAATTCAGTGATATAGTACAGTTTTAAAGCTCAATCAAAAAAATCTGTGATTTTGGGGGGAATGATACTGTTGTTAAGTATCATCAGTTTAAATGCCATTTCACTGAGGGTCTCTATCTTTTCTCACTCACCTCCTACTTAACCCAGCAAGATGTCCCAATCCAAGGACTAATACTTTCTGATCATATGTTCTTCAAAGTAAGGAAGATGAAATCTCACTACCCTTTGCTGCTAGGGAGTATTGTGGCTGTACTTTACCTAAGATAGACCTGTTCATTCCTCTGGAGGTCCATGGTTGAGTTCATTTTCTTCACTGGCACCATAACTCAAATGCATCCATTCTTCTTTGGTTGTCCTTGTTCATTGTCTACCTTTCTCATGCATATGAAGAAATTGAATATGGCTTTGGTCAGGTGCACCTTAGTTCTCAGAGTGATCTTTGATTTTTTTTTTAAGCTTTTAAAGAGATCTTTTAACACTAATTAAATAAGACTGTAGATTAATGAATCAATGTCTTTGAATTATGATGTTGGCTTAGAGTATTGGATATACTGTGGACTACCAGAAGAACAAATAAATATGTCTTGGGGGAAGGGAAATAAAGAGGTCTTTTGTAGCACTTTGATTTCTTGACTGCCACTTCTGTGGGCGTTGATTGGATGCAAGTTAAATGAAATCCTTGACAACTTCCATCTTTTCTTGGTTTATCATCATGCTCCTTATTTGTCCAGTTGTGAGGGGGGGGTTTGTTTTCTTTTTGTTGCGAGCCTTTGGTTTTGTTTTGTTTTTGTGAGCACTGGTGACATAGTCTGTAGGGAGTTGCACTGTTAACCCAATGGTGGTGCCTCTCTGGTAGAACTACCAGCAGCATCTCAGGAGGAAAGTGGGCAGTCTTCTCCTTTGAAATTTACAATCTCTGAAAACCTGCTAGAAGGTCAGCTATGAGTTGATTATGATTTGACAGCAATGAGTTTGAGTTTTGATGTTTTGCAGTTTTTTGAGATGTAGTTCTTACTGTATGTATCCTTTGACCTTTATCAAATCCTCTTTTAAAACTAGAGCTACTAACAGTTTTATTTTACTAACATTTAAGGGTTCTAGGCCGATAATGTCCTTATTCACTGCTAATTAAAAGGTGCCTTGAAAGAAAAGCCTAATATATCTCCCCAAAATCAGCCACTAAAAACCCTACAGAGCACAGTTCTTCTTTGACACCTATAGACTCACCATGAATTGAAATGGACTGGACAGCAACAGACATTTTGTATCATTTTGTTTGCTTGTTTGTTTTTACTAGCAGTTACCTAGCTAAATACTTTAAAAATACTTTTTTAAAGTGTTTTAAAAAATATTTTTCCCATGTTATTTTTAAGTAGTGTACCATCACCCCTCTTAAGTATGGCTAAGCTGCTTTGGAAGAATTGGCAAAAAGTAAGGCCCCAGGAATTGATGGTATGCCAGTTGACATAATTCAACTAAGTGATACTGCCTCAGATGTGCTCACCAAGTTGTGCCAAGAAATCTGGAGGAGGACAACCACTTGGCCAACTGACTGGAAGAGATCTATATTTGTTCTCATTCCAAAGAAAGATGATCCAACACAGTGTGGAAATTATAGAACAATATCATTAATATCACATGCAAGCAAGATTCTGCTGAAGGTTATCCAAAAATGACAGGAACAGCACATCGACAGAGCACTGCCAGATGTGCACCTAGGTTTAGAAATGGTCATGGTACTAGAGATATTATAGCTAATGTTAGATGGATCTTGGCTGAAAGCAGGGAGTACCAGAGGAATGTCTGTATGTTTCATTGATTATGCAAAGGCATTTGACTGTGTGGATCACAACAAATTGTGGCTAACTCTTGGAAGAATGGGAATACCAGAACACTTGATTGTGCTAAAGCAAAACCTGTATTTGCACCAGAAGGCAATCAATCATCAGAACAGAGCAAGGAAACACTGTATGGTTAAAAATTGGGAAGGTTGTACACCAGGGAGGTATCCTATCTCCATGCCTTTTCAATCCATATTCAGAACAAATTATCCAGGAGGGTGGATATGAGGAGAAATGTGGCATCAGGATTGGAGGAAGACTCATCAACAATCTGTGTTATGCAGATGACACAACCCTGCTTGCTGAAACTGTGGAGGACCTAAAGTGCTTACTGCAGAGGGTCAAGGACTGCAGCCTTCAATATGAATTGAGGCTCAATATCAAGAAAACAAAGATTCTCACCATTGGGCGAATTGGTAGCATCAGAGTTGATGGTGAAGAGATTGAGACTGTTAACAGCTTTTAGTATGCTTGGCTCCACAATCAACCATCTTGGAACCAGCAGCCAGGAAATTAAGACATATTGCAATGGGAAAGTCAGCTGTTAGAGACCACTCCAAAGCACTGAAGAGCAATGATGTCACTCTGGAGACTAAGGCATGCCTGATACAGGCCATGGTCTCTGCAATCATTTGCTATGTGTCAGAGAACTGGACAATGACTAGGGATGATAGAAAGAGAATTGATGCCTTCGAGCTGGTGCCACTGGAGATTCCAACTGATAACAATCCTATAGGACAGAGTTGAACTGCTCTACAGGGTTTTCAAAGCTGTAATTCTTTACGTGAGCAGCCGTAAAGTGACTGATGGGTTCCACCCACCCACCTTTAGGTTAGAAGGCAAATGTTTAATCCAGTGTGCCACCAGGGCTCCTAATAGAGCAATATGGGAAGCAAAAGTAAGAGTAGTTTAGGGGCAATCAAGAGTCTGACTTGGGATACATTACATTGGAGATGTTAAATAAGTCCTACAGGGGGTGAAGTCATATTGTCACTTGGGTATAAGTACAGAGTTTAGGTCCATAAAGAATATTCTGAGTTAGCATTCTTTCATTTATTCATTCAAAAGTGTGTGAGACAAACATTTCACCATTCTTGCTGCTAAAGGAGCACCTCAGTTGTTCTTCCTCCAAGACACATCAGTTCTTCCGGTAGTCCATGGAATATGCAATACTCTTCACTAACATCACAATTCAGAGGCATCAAGTCTTTGAGTTTCCTTGTTCATTGTCCAACTTTCAGATGCACAAGAAATAATTGCGAAGAGCATGGCTTGAATCAGGTACACCTTAGGCTTTAAACTGATATCCTTGCTCTTTAGTACTTTAAAGGGGTCCTTGACAGCATATTTTCCCAGTGCAACACATTTTTTGTTTTCTTGACTGATGCTCCCATAAGTGCTGGTTATGTATTCAAGTTAAATTGTTGACAACTTGAATCTTTTCTCCATGTATTAGGGTGTTACTATTTGTCCATTGGTGAGGATTTTTGTGTACTTGATGTTGAAATATAATTCATATTGAAGGCTGTAATCTTCGATTTTCTGTAACAAATGTTTCAAATCCTCTTCACTTTCTGTAAACAAGATTGTGTTATCTGTGCAATGCAGTTTGCTCATGAATCTTTCTCAAATCTTGATACAACATTCTTCTTCATATAGTCCACTTTCTTGGATTACTTACTCAATATACATACTAAGTATATGTAGAGAAATTATACAACCCCAATGCATATCTTGCCTGATTTTAAACCTTGCAGTATCTGTTTTTTCTGTTAGGATAGCTATTTCTTGATCTTCTTTTAAGTTTCTCGTAGTTAAGTGTTTTGGGATTCTCATTCTTCTCAGTGTCAACCATAACCTTTTTATGATCCATACAATTAAATGTCTTGGCATAGTCAACAAGACACAAGTAAATCTCTTTCTGGCATTTTCAGTTTTCAGCTAGGATCAATCTTACTTTAGCAATATGTCAGAAGCCATGACCTCTTTAACTCCAGCTTGAATTTCTGTCAGTTCCCAGTTGATGTATTGTTCCAACTGCTTTCGAATTATTTTTACCAAGATTTTACTTGTCGTTGTTGAGTGCCAACAAGTCGAGTATGAGTCATAGTGACCCTATGAACAAAAAATCTGAACCCTGTTCTATCCTGTACCATCATCACACTTCCTGACACAAGAGCCCATGCAGCACTCACCATGTCAGTCTACCTGGCTGATGGTCTTCCTCTCCTTCACTGACTCTCCACCCTTCCCAGCATCATGTCCTTCTCCAAAGAATAGCTCCTCCTAGCAACCATGCCCAAAGTATGTGAGGTAAAGTCTCATCATTCTTACCTCCAAAGAGCGCTCAGGCTGCACCCTCTCCAAGACATATCTGTTTGTTCTTTTGGCCATCCGTAGGATAGTCAGTGCTTTTCTCCAACAGTGTAGCTCAGAGGCATCAATTCTTCTGTCATCCTTATTCATTGTCCAGCTCTCAGATGCTTAGCAAGTGGTTGGAAAGACCATGGCCTCTATGCTATTAACGGACACCTAAGATTTTGTAGTATTCTGGTTCCAGGAAGATTTCATAATTGTGTGTAGGCCTAAGATAGAAAGGAAGTGCTGGCCACATGTGGCAAGTGGAAGTTAGCAAAAGAGAACCATGGGGATAGGGGCCATGTGTCTCACTTTTCACAGAGTGGGGAACAAACACTGCTGACTCTATTGAATTGATTCAGAAAGCACTTGTTCCATTTGGTTCCTCTTTCCTCTGCCGCAGCAGTGAAGACCATCTGCTGGTCTATTTCCAGGGTCACACTCTCTGCACTACCTCTTCATGGGGGCCTCCCAGCCATACCTTGGGCTGCCATTGTTTGAGGCTTTGGGTTACGTGGATGACAGGCTGTTTGTATCCTACAATCATGAGAGTCGTCGTGCTGAGTTCCGCACACCATGGATCCAGAGTGGGGCTACCAGCCAGCTCTGGCTGCAGCAGAGTCAGAGCCTGAAAGGGTGGGACCACATGTTCACTGTTGACTTCTGGACCATCATGGACAACAACAACCATAGTGAAGGTAAGTGGGGAGGAGGCTTTGCCTTCTTGGGTGTGATGGAACATCTGTCCACCTCCGAGATAGAGGCCATTTGGGAAAGGAGGAAAGAACTGAGAGAAAGGAGATCACTTCCTGAGATCCCAATAGGCATGATGGAGACAGGGATCTACCTACTTCTTTGGTTTCAGTAATGAGGCTGGGGGTGCTGTCAGAGTCCCACACCCTGCAGGTGATTCTGGGCTGCGAGGTAAAGGAAGATAACAGCACCAGGGGCTTCTGGAAATATGGATACGATGGACAGGACCACCTTGAATTCTGCCCTGAGACACTGGATTGGAAAGCAGCAGATGCCAGGGCCCAAGTCACCAAGCTGGAGTGGGAAGTGAACAAGATTCGGGCCAAGCAGAACAGGGCCTACCTCGAGAGGAACTGCCCTGAACAGCTGCAGCAATTGCTGGAACTGGGAAGAGAGATTCTGAACCAGCAAGGTAAGGTGGGAACACCCTTCAGCACCCACACTCTTATGACTGAGTGGAGCAGAGCACAGGCCATGGAGTCTGATTGAGCTCATTGGTTGGTTGATCCTACTCAAGTTCTAGGAAAGGACTTTCTCCGACCTCTGGTCTGAACTTTACAACTGTGATATATGACCATGGATTAAGGGTGTTGTGTTTTTTTTTTTCACTTAGGGAAAGAAGTACTCAGGATCTTCCTTTGATTGAATAAAGAGTTTTGTTTATATTTATCCTGTCTAGGAATTAAGACTTATCCATACCACATTCCTTATAAAAGCAAGAGCTTACCAAGTGGGACAACCACACTGCAAAGCTTTTTGTAGGTTAAGGGTTTACTTCACAGAACACAGCAATAATCCCCAAAGCCTGGCAATTTGTCAAGTCCTTTCCTACAAGAATGCTTATTTGGTCGAATAAAATGAAATTTCAGTAATTAATGTTCAATCACTTTTGATTGACATGAGTGGCAATCTTGTTCGGTTCAGCTTACTCTACTGACAGAGAATAGTGTACTTGGTTAACTGGAACTTATTGGTCAGGAGAACAAAGCTGAGTCCCTGAACAACATGGTACCTCTGCAACTTGCTTTGCCTGCAAAGAGTATTTCTGTTCTCCAGCCAGTTAAAAAAACAAAAAAACAAACAACAAAAAACACCAAGAAAGAAGTGAAACTTCCAATCTTCCTAAAAAAATTAAAAAAAAAAAAGAAAATCCACTCCCATAAAGTTGGTTCAGACACATAATGGTCTTCCAAGGTTGCAAATCTGTATAGGAAAAGACTGTTCATCTTTGTTCTGAGAAACAGCTGGTAGATTCAAACCATTCAAGCCTTCTTTCTAGTCTTCCTGTTGTTGTTTTATATGTAAGTCAGTACCAACTCATAGCTGATTTTCAAGTGGGTTTTCAGAGGCAGTAAATCTCCTGGGAGGAGATAGCTCATCTTTCTCCCACACAGAAGCTGGTAAATTCAAACCACATGTCTTTAGGTGGGCTATCCAGCCTCTTAACACTTGGCCACCAGAGCTAGCACAGGAGAAAAGTTGATTCCTTCTTCTCATCTCTCTTTCTTCTTTTCTAGTACCTCCTTCTTTAGTGAAAGTGACTCATCATCTGACCTCTAAAATGACAACTCTACAATGTCAGGCTTTGAACTTCTTACCCCAAAGCATCACCATGAGGTGGTTGAAGGACAAACAGCCACTTGATGCCAAAGAGGTTGATGTGGATATCCTACCCAATGGAGATGGGACATACCAGGGCTGGATGACTGTGGTTGTGCCTTCTGGGGAAGAACAAGGATACACCTGCCAAGTGGAACATCCAGGCCTGGACCAGCCCCTCACTGCCACTTGGGGTATGAGTGAGAACTAGAAGCCGATTAAGTCTGTTGTGGGTGGAACGGAGCCAGTCAGCATGGGGAGGATCTGCTCTGGGCTGGAAGCGGTGGAGAGTGGCACTCAGACTTTCACTTGCCTTTGCTGTTTTTAGAACCTTCACCTTCTGGCACCTTAGTCATTGGACTCATCAGTGGGATTGCTGTGTGTTTCATCATCTTCCTTATTGGACTTTTGTTCAGAATCTTAAAGAAGAGGCATGTTTCCAGTGAGTAGAAAGAAGGAGAAAGTCTTTAAAATCTCTTTCCTTTGTTGTTAAGTGCTACCAAGTTGAAACACACTCATAGGGATTCCTGTGACCAAATAGAACTGCTCCATAGAGGGTTTGGGCTATAATCTTTATAGGAGAAGATCACAGGTCTTTTCCTGTTAAGCTATGAGGAAATTCAAACCACTAACAGTTTGCTTATCAGCACAGTGTTTAAGCATTATGCCACTAGGGTTCCCTCCCAGCCCCGTGCCCTATGAATTCTAAAACAGCCATGCTAATCTTTGTATTGGCAAAGGCATGCCAATTCTCCTGCCAGCAAGTGGACAGAAGGAACACTGAGAGGACTTGGCATCTATGTGAAGCCTTCCTTCTCTTTTTCTTTGGAGGCATCAGGGCTTTTCTTAAACCAGTCACTTGTTTCCCCTAAAATGAAAATTCCAGTTCCCCTAAAATGAAAATTCAATTCCAGTTCAAGCATTTTTTTGAAAGTTACTATTTGAACATGCTTTGGGCATGTGAGAGGAGGCACAGCTCCTGGGAAAAGACATCATGCCAACATCATTCATAATGGAGAAAGACTAGAGGCATTCCCTTTGAGAACAGGAATCAGACAAGGATGCCCACTTTCACCACTCCTATTCAATATTGTATTGGAAGTACTTGATAGGGCAATATGAAATGAGGAGGAAATGAGAGACATATAAATCAGCAAAGAGATAGTTACTCACTGTATGCAAACAATAGTGATAGTGTATCCAGAAAACCCCAAGACTCAACAACAACAAACCACTAGACCTCAGTAAAATGGCAGGATATAAGATCAATATACAAAAAGCAGTGAGATTCCTCTACAGTAAGGAACACACAGAGAGAGGAAAACTAAGAAAGAAATAACATTTACAATAGCCGACCACAAACTGAGATACTTGGGAATAAACCTAGCTAGAGACACGTAATACCTTTATAAAGAAAACTGCAAAACACTGCTATGAGAAATATTTTGTTCATCAGACTTACTTCAGCATCTCTTCCTTTTGTTTCGACTTCTTGAAGCTCTACTGCAATGTTCATAGACATTTCCCCTCTATCTTATAATGATCTTTTGCTCTCTTCATGGATAATATCTTCGATATCCTCCCACAGTTCCTCTGGTGTTCCATTATTGGTGTTCCATATCTCAAACCTGTTCTTGAAATGATTCTTAAAATCAACTGGGATACACACACTCAATTTTGTCTATCATGTTTTGTCTCCTGTGGAGTAGTTTTAGTTTTCTTCAGCTTCAATTAAAACTTGTACATGAGTAATTGATGGCCTATCGCACTCGAGCAAAATATTGTAGAAGATCATTTGAAAACAGCTAGACCTGTACATCGACAGAGAACTACCAGAAGTAGAAGCCAGTTATAGAAGAGGCCTCAACACTAGGGATACATTGATGATGTCAGATGGATCCTGCCTGAAAGCAGAGAATGCACGCATTTTTGCCTATTTACTAGGCATTTGACTTGTAACAAATTAGAGTTAACATTGAGAAGAATGGGAATCTCAGAACACTTAATTGTGCTAATAATGAATCTGCATCTAGACCAAGAAGTTGTTGTGCAAACAGAGCAAGGGAATAGTGCATGGTTTAAGATCAAGAAGAGTGTACATCAGGGTTGTATCCCTTCTCCATACATACTCAATCTGTGTGCTGAGCAAATTATTCACAAAGTCAAACTCTGTGAAGAAGAGTGTGTCATCAGGAAGACTCATCAACAACCTGCATTATGAGATGACACAACTTTTTTTTTTTTTTCAATTTGAAAGCACTGTTTTATTAACTGACCAGATTACAAAAAAGAATCATGGCTGATACCTTAGTTCATTCTTCTGATAAGCCTGTTGATCTGGTCTTCCCGGTTGCCAGCATCTCCACCTTCTACAAAATGAGTGGTCTTTTTCTTCATTCCACCTCGTGGAGAAGATACTTTGAATGGCCACAAGAAGTTGTTTGCTTCCTTGAAGTGTTTGCCAACAGTATAGATCTCATGAATCAGATCCTCCATGCAGATGACACCATATTTACCTGGAAATTTTAAGGTACGCCAATGAGAGTCAATCACAGGCTGTGCTACAAAATGGTGAGAAATGCATGGCTTTATGACAGAGGTCAAACTGACACAACTTTTCTTGGTGAAAGTGAGGAAGACATGAAACACTTGCTGATAAAAATCAAGGACTACAGCCCTCGGTATGGATTACTTCTCAACATCAAGAAGACAAAGATCCTCACCACAACCCCAATAGTCAACATTATGATACATGAAGAAAAGATTGATGCTACCAATGATTTCATCTTGCCTGGATCGATCAACATTCGACACCCCTGGTACCATCAGTGAGGAGATTTATTGCTTTGGGCAAGTGTGTAGTCAGGGAGCTCTCTAAAATGCTGAAGAGAAATGATGTCATCTTGAAGACTAAGGTGTTCCTGAGTCAAGCCGTGGTTTTCTCAATCACTTGCTACACATGAAAGAGCTGGACAATGAATGAGGATGACAAAAGAATTGATACCTTTGCATTTTGGTTCTGGAAAAGAGTATTGAATATCCAGTGGACTACCAAAAGAACAAACAGATGGTTTGGAAGGCACAGCCAGAGTGCTTTTTGGAGACAAAGATGACAAAAGTTTGACTTTCATACTTTGGAAACATAGCTTGATGAGGTTATTCCTTGGAAAGAGGTGTCAAGCTTGGAATGATGGGGAGTCAGCAAAGGATAGGAAGACCCCCAATAAGATAGATTGACACAGTGATTTCAGCAATGAGTTCTGTTGTGTCAGAGATGATGAGGATGGGTTCAGGTTGGCTGTTCATAGGGTCACTATGAGTGTACTCAACTCAACAGCACCAAACAACAAGAGAACTAACTAAATGGAAAGACTCAAAATAGTGAAAATGGCAATCCTAGCAAAGGCAATGTACATGCTCAGTGCAATCCAAACATTTACCTTTTTCAAAGAAATAGAAAGAAACAATAGATAAGTTTATTTGGAAAGGAAAAAGACACCCAATAAGCTAAACACTTCTGAAAAATAAAAATGAAATGGGAGGCATAGCACTCTCTGATCTCAAAACCTACCACACAACCATAATAATCAAAATACCATGAAACCAGAACAATGGCAGACACATAGACCAAGGGGAAAGAATAGAGAAATAACCCATATACCTATGGCAACTGGTATTTTACAAGGAAACAAAACCAATTAAATGGGGAAATGACAATCTCTTCAACAAATGAGACAGGTTAAACCAGACTGCTCTCTTTAGAAACCTGAAACGTGATCCACGTCTCACACCATAAGCAAAAATCAACTCAAGGTGGATCAGAGACCTAGGGGAAAAGTCCCAAACCATAAAGATCCTAAGAGATAAAGTGGGACCAAACTTAGAAGCCCTAGCCTATGGTTGGCAAATACAGCCAGAAATGCACAATCAGGAAAGGATAACATTGATGAATGAGGTCTTCTGAACATTAAACCCTTGTGTACCTCAAAAACTTTCCAATAGGATGGGATGGGGGCGGGGGAAGAAAGCCCAAAACCCTTACTGACTTGTGAAAAATATTTGGCAATGCCATCTCAGATAAGGGTTTCATAATGAAATTTACAGACTACTACAGGACCTCAACAAGAAAAAGACTGATAGTGTAATTACAAAATGGGCAAAGGGCATGTAAAGAGTTTTCTCAGAGGATAAGTTTAAGATGGCTAATAGATACATGAATAAATACTCCAAATTACTGGCAATAAGAGAGATGCAAACCAAAACTACAATGAGATACCATCTCATTCCTGTAGCACTGGTAAAGTTTAACTGGACAGCAAGCAATACATTTTGGAGACATGTGGAGATATTCAAACTCTCATACACTGGGTGAGATTGTAAAATGGTGCAATCACTCTGGAAGAAAGTTTAGCATTTCCTCACAAAGCTGAACATAAAAATCCTATGTGACCCAGCTATTTCACTGCTAGGAATATACCATGAGGAAAAGAAAACTGAGATACAAATGGAGATTTGAACACCTATGGTCATAGCTTGGAAGCAAGAGTGCCATCCACTTCCTAAACAATATGCCTCTGGAAACTCTATTAACTTAGATAAATGTCAATTTTTTTTGGCTGTATTTTGACTATATTGTAGAGGTGCCTCGGGCCTTTTGTTCATAAGGGTCTCTATGAGTCGTGCTAGATTCAAAGGCAATCAACAACAACAACAACTTTGTAGCAGTATTATTCACAATAGCACAAACATGCAAACAGCCCAAATGTCCATCAACTAACAAATGAATTGAGAAGTTGAAGTATATTTACACAGTGGAATACTATGTAGCATTCAGGAATAAAGATTGTGAAAAACACTATATAATATGAAAGAGGCTAGAAAGCATTATGCTGAGTGAACTAACTCAATCTCATAATGACAAATAATGCATATGACCATTATTGTAAAACTAGAAGGATAACTAGTAAGATACATATAAATGTCCAAAGAAAGAAGAGAAGGGACCAGGGGGGTTAGGTTAAGGGTGTGGACAGGGGAAACATTATGGGCTTGCAGAGTTCAGAGTTTGGTGGGTGGATGGAGGGTTGAAGGCATTAGGAAAGATTCGGTGCTCCCATAAAGATTGTCGTTGTTCTTAGGTGCCATTGAGTTGACCATGACTCATAGTAACCATCTGAACAATGAATCTGAACCCTGCCCTGTCCTGCACCATCCTCATCATCCCTGGCATACCTAAGCTCATTGTTACAGTCACTGTGTCAGTAGACTTTGTTGAGGGTCTTCTTCTCTTTCAACAAATGCTTGCCTTTCCCAGTATGATGCCTTCTTCCCAGAACTGTCCCTTCTTTACAACATTCCCTACATATGTGAGACACTTTTACCATCCTTGCCTCTAAGGAGCACCGTGGTTATACCTGTTTGAGACTTATTTGTTTAAATTGTTGCATTTCTAAGCCCTGATGACCTAGTGGCAAGAAGCTGCGATGCAATCTTGAAGGCAGTTCAAATCCAACAGTTGCTTTGCGGGAGAAGGATGGGCAATCTCCATCTGCGGGATTAACCACCTCTAAAAACCCGCTAGATGGTCAGCTATGGGTCATACTCAATTCGATGATACAAACAACAACAGGCATATGCAATACTTTTCATCAAATCCACATTCAAAAGGCATCAATTTCAGCAGGGAAAATCTCATAGCACATTTCTCTCTCATATGGGGTTGTTGGGTTGGAATCTCCTCAGAAGCACTGATAATAGCACCATTTATTGTGGTAAGAGTTTCTGAGTTGCTCAAACTGTTGAGGACTTGGTTAACTAACTGAGGAGTTGGCAGTTTGAATAGACATGGGAAGAAAAGCCTGACAATTTACTTCTTAAGGGACAAAGACTCTGGAAAAACTATGCAGACTTTTTTACTCTGAAACAGATGAATGCTCCATAAATTGGAACTGACTTGACCACAACTGGTTTGGTCTTTTTTAGTATTTAAGGTAGTGCTAGCACCTTAGGAGGAAGGAGCTCTTTTTTACTTAGTGAGTTAGAGAAAGGAAACACTCTTTAATCTCAGCAAACTAAAGACAGACACTAAACAAGCATACTTAGACCATGGCCCCTAAAATCTAAAAGATCCAAGAGAGATATGAAGGAAATGCTTTGAGATGTCAAAGGCAGGAATGACCATGTTTGACTGGAGATCAGGGAAGGATTTTGGGAGCTGGCTTCTGAAGTGGAGTTTAAGAGAAACCAGAACTTCAGATGAGATTAAGCATGAGAGGATAGTTGGAGCAACACTGCAAGGAAGAAAGTGTGAGGCATGCTGGGAGGTAAGAAATAGTTACTCCACTCTGACCTTGACCTGTCAGCTATAAGCTTCTAAGTTTTAACCCCTAAACATTTCTGGGGAGCTCTGGTGACCTAGTGGATAAAAATTTACTCTGACAACCCAAAGATAAGTGGTTAGGATCTACCAGCTGCTTCATAAGAGAAAGGCAGGCAGTTTCCTCTTGTATGATTTACAGTTTCTGAAAACCCACTGAAGGGTCAACTTTGAGTTGGTTGGACTCTACTCACAAAACAACAACAAACATGTCTGATGTGAGGAGAAAACAGCCTGAATGTAGCTCATGCAGGACCCTGGGGAGCCTGTTGAAACTTTATCTTTGAGTTCTAGGACACCATGAATAGACACAGCAATGAGAGGCACAAATCCCATGGCATGATGAATGAGTTGTTAGGAAGCGAGATGAGAGGCAAGGAGGCCAGTTAAAAGGTCATTGAACAATTCTAGATAAGCTATAATAGTGTCTAAAATCCAGTAGCAGCATGGAGAGTTGTCATAACTGAAAGGGATGAGTGGCAGAGGGAGGAAGCAAGGATGATTTCTGAGTCTGCAATGTCTCTGTTTTGGTCTTTTGTCTCCACAGGAGGAACTCTGGGGGACTATGTCTTAGCAGAAGGTGAGTAAAGTGCAACCTACAGATCCTTTGACAGAAGAAACATAGACTCAAGTTGACTAACTCAATTCATCACTTCTTGGCCTGTTAGCAAAAATCAAGTGTAGAACTCACTCAATGCTGTTTAGTCTGAAGCAACTCACAGTCAACCCTTCAGCAGGATTTCAGAGACTGCAATCACATAGGTTTGGAATCAGGAGTGGTATCCACTTCCTAAACGACATGCCTCTGGAAACTCTATGAACTTTGATAAATGTTGATAGTTGTAGAGGCGCTTCAGGCCTTTTGTTCATAGGGTCGCTATGAGTCGTCTCAACTCGAAGGCAATCAACAACTTCAATCATATAAGAAGAAATTGCATCTTTTTCCCTTGGAGCAGCTCGTGAATTCAAACCACCTGCCTTTAGGTTGGCAAATGCTATTTTTTATATTAAGTGCTGTCAAGTCACTTGTGACTCATAGTGACCACTATGTACAATAGCTCTGAACCCTATTCTATCCTGTGCCAACCTCATCGTCTCCAGCACCCACTCCCATTACCCCAGTCACTGAGTCAATCCATCTCATCAAGGGTCTTCCTCTCTTTTGTTGTCCATCCACTCTTCCAAGCATGATGTCCCTCTCTAAAGACTAGTCCCTCCTTGTAGCATGCCCAGAGTATATCAGGTGGAGCTTCAGAATCCTTGTCTCCAAGGAGCTTCCTGGTTTCACCCTTTCCAAGACAAACTTGTTCTACTAGCAGTCCATGGTATATTCAATACTTTTCTCCACCACCATAACTCAAAGGCATCAAGTCTTCTTCTGTCATCCCTAGTCATTTGTCCAGCTCTCTGATGCATAGCAAGTAATTGAGAAGACCATGGCCTGGATCAGGTGCACCTTAGTCTCCAGACTGGCAGCATTGCTCTTCTGTACTAGAAAAGTTTCTGACAGAATACTTTTCCAATGCAATTGATCTTTTGATTTCCTGGCTTGCTGGTACCAAGAATGTTGATTGTAGAGACAAGCAAACTGAAGCTCTTAAAAATCTCAGTCTCATCACCATGTATCATGATGTTGCCAATCAGCCCAGTGGTGTGAATCTTTGTTTTCTTGATGTTGAACTAGGTTGGCAGGGCAACTTCTTAATCATTAGGCCTCCAGAGCTCCCTAGAGACTCAAAGAGTAATGAAATTGGTGAATATTCCACATTTCAACACAAGTAACTGCCTAAGGCCTTCTCTGCTTTTGGCCATCTCATTTGAGTCCAATGTTTAAATGTTGGTACAGTGATTCTGTGTATTTCCTCCATCTTCTTTTGATCCTTTCTGGATCATTAAAGATTTTGCTCAGGAAATCTCTAAGTATTTACTGCAACTTGAGACTTGAATATGTTTCTCAGTTCTTTTAAATTGAGAAATGTTGATAAGAGTTCTTCCCTTTTAAGAAGATATGACAAATGCAGCCCTGGGCATGCTCACCAGTTTATACCAGGAAATTTGGAGGACAAGGACAGCTACCCAGCCAACTGACTGGAAGAGATCTGAAAGGTGATCCAATAGAATGTGGAAATTATCAAACAATATCATTACTGTTACAGCAAGCAAAAAACTGCTGATGATCACTCAAAAATGACTAGAACAGTACATAGAGAATTTTCCAGAGGTCAAGCTGGATTTAGAAGACATCGTGGCATGAGGGATATCATTGCTGATCACATAGATCTTGACAAAAAGCTTTATTGACTATGCAAATACACTTGACTGTGTGGATCATAACAAATTATCGGTAACATTGAGATGAATGGAAGTCCCAGAACACTTAATTATGCTCATACAAAATCTCTCCCTAGATCAAGAGGCAATTATGTAAACAGAGCATTTTGATTGACTTCCAATTTGGATTCTATCTCTAATACTATATCTGTGTTCCTGTATTGTCTGCTATATCAGAAGTGGATAGCTAATCCTGTTTCCTAGTCTGTCTTAATCTGAGAGCTCTACTAAAACCTGTCCAACGTGAGTGATACTATTGGCATTTGATACACTAGTGGCACAATTTTCAAAGCACCCACAATATACCTCAGTACAGCATCCTGACAGACAAGTGCTATACAAATTAGAATTATAGCTACAAAGTAATTAATAATATTCAGATCATTCCCCCCCAACACAACAAACTGACAGATAAACAAGCAATAATACAGATATCTAAACTATAACATAATTAGCAATATGCAAATCATTCCCCTTATACAACCACTGATACATCTCTATCAGAAAACCATAAAGACAATCAAGCATTAAAATGTCATGAAAAGAGGACCTCCTTCTCTGACCCCAGCTGAAGTCCTTGATGGAGCAGCAGGATGGAGTTCTAGATGGTGGCACAGAGAATATCTCAGTTCCTTAGTGCTGAGCCGTAGTAGTAGTGTTTGATCCATGACCTGAGAGCCACAAGGACCTCATCCCAAAATGGGAAGAAAGGAAACTCAACCATGTACCTTATGCTTGTGAAGTCTTCTTGATATTGCAGGATGTCTTCTCCATACTTATTCAATCTGTGCTGAGCAAATTATGAAGAAGAATGTGGTATCCGGATTGGAGGAAGATTTGTCAATAATCTTCATTATGCAGATAACACCACCTTGGTTGCTGAAAGTGAGGAGGACTTGAAGTGCTTGCTGCAGATGACCTTAACCTTTCATATAGTCTGCATCTCAATCTATAAGCAGCACCACGAGAGATGGAGAAGATTGGTTCTGTCAACAACTTCATCTTCATCTTCAACTTCTTCATTATATCCACAATCAATACACTTGGTACCAATAGTCAGGAGATAAGGAGACTTGTTGCACTGGGGAAGTCTGCAGTTAGGGACCTCTCCAGATTATTGAAGAACAATGATACCAGTGTGATGACTAAGGTGGTTTTGTTCAGGCCATGTCCTTTTAAATCACGTGGCTATCCTTCTGAGAGCTGGACAGTGAATAAGAATGGCAGAAAAATTATTGATGTATTTGAACTGTGGTAATAGAGAAGAGTATTGACAACTGTGGTGATAGAGAAGAGGGCTGCCAAAAGAGAAAACAGGTATGTCTTGGAGAAGGTGCAGCAAGAGTGCTTCTTGGAGGTAAGACTGATAAGACTTCGCCTGACATACTTTGCATATGTTGCTAAGAGAGGCTATTTATGGGAGTGCAACATCATGCTTGGGAAGGAAGAGAGAAAGATAATGAAAGGAAGATCTTCAACCAGGTGGATTGACACAGTGACGACAGCAGTGGGCTCAGTGTGTCAGAGATTGTGAGGATGGCACAGGACAGGGTTCAGATCTGTTGTTCATACGGTTGCTATGAGTCATGCTCAACATCACCGCACAAGAACAGCAACATGCTTAACAATACCCAGCTGCCACCTCTGCTCTGATCTGGGTCCAGAGTTTCAAACCGCATCTGGACCCTGTCTATATTTCCTCCATCGCTTCACACTCTGCATCATCTACCACTGGAAAGGTTTTATTAGATGCTGTTGAGTTATCTCTGACTCATAGCCACGCTACACGTACGATAGAAAGAAATACTGACTGACCTATGGGGAAAATCCAATCCATTGCTGTTCTAGAACCACTTATACCTAACCCTCTAGTAGATTCCAGAGACTGTAAATCACACAGAAGGATATTGACCATCTTTCTCCTGCAGAGCTGCTGGCAGCTTTGAACCACCAGAAAGGCGCTTGCTGCTTTGAATTAGCAGCACAATTTTATAGACTACACAACCAGAGAACTCTTATGGAAGAGGAAATCTTCAATTAGGAAGATTCTTTTTAAAAGCAATCAGCCTCTCCAGGAACACAACCTCTATACCCCTTCTAGAGATTGTGAATGTGCATTCAGACATTTCTTCCCTTTGACTTCCCCATGTGATATCTAGTAACTTATCTGCAGGGGAGCCCTAAGGTCTCTTCTTTCAGAGGCTGAACTGGTGTGTATGTGCAGTTCTGAATGCCTCCTTCCCATCAGATCCATGGATGTTAATGATAGATTTTAGCAGGAATGAGAAAGGAGTTTCTCTAGGAGGTGTCTTTTTCTAATTTGTACAATGATGCCCTAAGAGTTTCTTTTTTTAAAAAAAATTTGAGATTGTAATGGAAGTTTATAAAGAACTTGGATTTCCATTCATTCATTGTAGCACATTTTTTCCCCTGTCCCTCTCTCTGCCAGTTCACTTCAAAACAAAACAAAACAAAACACAAAAAACACTCAACAGTTCTTTCATTGTTATACAGTCCTCTCCTCTCCTTAGCCACTTGACTGTGCAGCTCTTATTCTGGGCTCTTGTCATGTCAGTAATACTTAATCATATATTCCTTTTATACAGTTCTCTTCCTTGTCTGTGTCAATGCTGTATATATTATTTGTTCTCTCTTTTCTTAAAAAAGGGTTTTCTTGATTAATGATGTGTGCATTAGCAATGTCTCTCCTGTATGCTAGTCCTGCAGGATTATACTGATTTTTTTACCTGGTTTCTGTCAGCATGCTCTCTTCATTCTGATAGTAATGATGTTCTTGATGATAATGTGGCTAACACTTATAAAAAGGAACTCTGGTAGCACATGGTTAAGCTCTTACCTGCTACCTAAAAGAAGAGATGGGAGTCTGTTTCCATAAAGTTTTGCTCCTTGGAAATTCTATGGGATAGTGTAATCTGTCCTGCAGGATGGCATCCAATAGCAATGTGTTTTGGGGAAAACACTTAGATTTTAAAAAGCCAAATGCATTTACTTGGTGCCTTGCCTTATTCTAAGCACTTATATGTATTATCTCATGTAACTATTATAAGTTTTGTGTGATAGTTCTGTGACTACTCACGTTTTTTTTAATAAGCAAAATACAGTGTAGAGTATCTCACCACTTCCTAGGGATAGAAGCAGGCTTTGAACTTGGTCAGCCTGTCTCTTTGATCCATTTCTCATACATATTCAGAAGGTTCCAATGCTTCGAGTAATCCAGAAAGAAGAATGCTGATTGGTATGGGTGAAATATAAGAAGTATTTTCTGCATTTAGCAGGTGCAAATAGTTTGTGCTGGGCTCCTAACCAAAAAGCTAGTGGTTTGAATTTACAGCAGCACCATATAGACACAGCGATCTGGTCCTATAAGGATTATAGCACAAAATCCTATGGAGCTCAGTTCTACTCTCTCATACCCAAGGTCACCAGGAGTCAGAACTGATTTGACAATTGGATTAATTTCTTGCTCTTCAACTCATTTTTTTTCTCTTTTTCATACTGTTTCTTCTCAGTGGACTTGACAGAAATGAAGGGAAAACAACAGAGAACAACCTACTGATTATCACCTTCCTTATGATACCCTGATGGAAGGACCCTGGACTTAGACATCTTTATTTCTCTGTTGTCATTGCCAGCACCTCTTCAGTCCTTGGACCAGGGATATAACTGGTGTACGTAATTGGTGTATGGTCTTTCTTGGCCAGTGGCTTTGGAGTTGGAAAATTCCTGGTGGCATTTTCCACAACAAGCCGGGGAACCCTCTCTCATTAAAGACTGTGAAACTGAAGTCACCATGTGTCCTTGAGGATGTCCCAGACATCTTAGAGTTGCTGGAGTTCCAGGTTTCATACCCATCCATGTCTATTTTAAAAGAAAGGAAGAATCTAACTAAGACAGTAGGTTCTTGGAAAGTGCTGTCTACACCAAGAGGTCATGATGTCTGCCATAGTGGTACAAAACATTCTTTCTTGGAAGACACGTGCCTAGGAGACCAAATACAGCTCAGATGGTTGCTTGACAGTGTTATTGATTGCATTATTTCCCCACCCCTTCACCCTCTGCAAAAAAAGATATGTTCAAGTCCTAACTTTGTACTTGTGAATGAGCCTGTTTGAAAATGTTTTCAGTCAGTCTAAATTCATACTGAAGTAAGATACTTCCTAATCCTAAGTGACTGACCACCATCTAAAAATAAAAATACATTGACACAGGAATGTGATGCTGCAGCTGCAAGCCAAGGAAGGCTTAGAGCTATTTGAAGCAGGGAGAGAGGTATTAGAACAGGTAATTCTTTTAAAGGTCAAGAAGGAATCAACATGGCCGACATTTTTATCTGGGACTTTTGATCTCTAGAACTATTAGACAAAAGCTTCTATCCTTTGTAAGTCACTCATTTTGTGGTACTCTGTTATGATAGCCTTAGGAAATGAATAGGTTGTCATTCAATTTGAGCCAAAGGATCTCAAGCATTTTTTACAGCTTGTTCTTTTTTTGTGATTGTGAAAATTATGTAGAAAATAATTTGTGCTCATTGTAAAAAAATCTGGAAAATGAATGAATTAAAAACTATCACAGTGATAAATTCTACTAACATTCTATATTGCCTCTCCACACTATTTCTGTATTAAAAAAAGATTTAAAATACTTATGTTAATAAATGTGCACGTGGGTACTGCATAAATTTACTGATAGGTACTTGTCCTTATGTGTGTGTGTGTGTGTGTGTGTGTGTGTGTGTGTATATCTATATATATATATATATATATATTACTTCAGCATTAAAGCATTTATACTGCATATGTTTCATGTTGTTTATGGACTATTTTTATTAAACATTAGTAATTGAATTGTTTTCATATGCTCTAGAGACACTAACATCTATGTTGTAACAACACACTGATGATTTTTAAACCCAAACTAAGCTGGCAGGACATTGTCCGATTCTTCTTTATCTCATATATTGTATTACCTCATAATGGAAAAGGAACAACACAGGAGGCAATGGTTTGTTAAATATTGTTTTTATTTCACAAAGGCTGAGATATGTGAAAACATCTTAATCTTCATCGGAACACTCTAACAGCTATCAGCACTTAGGGCCTATTAGCATTTTATTTAAATAGAAGTTATAAATCTTCTTCTCGTTTTAGTTTAATTTTCTGGCCTACCCATCAATTTTTAAGGCAAACCACATCTGAACAAAAAAAAAAAATTAAAAAAAAATCAAAGAATACCTACATTTAAAATTTTGTGTTTCATCTTCTAGCAAAACCACCCATAAACAAGAATTACTGGGTAAAGAAAGAGTGACATCTGGTGGCCATGGGTGAATGTGTAACAGTGGTCATGTGATGAATTAGCTTTAGATGCTATGGAATTCTTGGGGATTTGTTTTCCTTTCCTTCAGCCTCAATTTGAACTCGCACAGGAGTAATTGATGATCTGTTCCACAGTCAATACTTGGCCTTGTTTTGACTGCTGATATTGAGCTTCTCCAACAATTCCTCCCACAGATGTAGTCAATCTGATTGCTATGCAGTCCATCTGGTGAGGTCCATGTATAAAGTCACCATTTGTGGTTTGTTTTTTTTTTAAAAAAGGTATTTGCTATAAATAAATCATTGAGCATACAAAATT